CTGCAAAATTCTCACCGGAAAAAGGGATTTCCAGAAATCGAGATCAGTCTTTGGAGACTCCGCTATTCCGAGCGCCCAAGAAATCAACATTATGAGCGACCCAGCTGCTAAAGACAGCGTCGATGTTAGCCAGGGAAAGGGATAAGCATTCAACACCTTCTTGTTGTAGATGTTGAAGATCACGTTCAAGCCCCACCAAGTAGCGAAATAAATTCCGATCTTCAACCTCCTCGCCGACTCAGACGCCGCCTCCACCTCCGGCTCACTGATAGGCTCCGATCGGTCGGCCTCGTAAGCACCGCGCGTGATCGGCGATCGCTCCTCCTTCTCTCTGCTGTTCGAAAACCCCACAACCACCCTCGAAACATGGAGCGGCCTTGAGAGAGAAACGTTGGAGTTCCGGCGGGATTTCTCCGCCGCCAGAAGAGGGACGGCCGGTGAGCGCCGGCCGAGGGGATTCCTCACCTGCTGCAGCAATTTCGAGCCATGGATTGGTAAAGACTGGTGCTTGAGCGAAGAGATCATAACAGTAATAGTAGCGATAAATCAAAGTAAAAATGAAAATAGAGTGCAAAAAGATGAGAAAGCTTCGGCGAAAATATTGATGCGGGGTTTGACTAGAGCAAGCTGCCAAGGATATCAAAGATTTTTTCGGGCTTTCCTATATAGAAACTGCCGAAACTGCCAAAGGGGCGAACTGGAGAAAAGGTTTGTCACACGGCTTTGAGAGAGAGGAGCATTGAACTACCGTGAATATCTATGAAAGACGGAATAAGTTTTCTGTTGATTTCTTCATGGCGCAAGTATCGGGTAGAAACTGGTGCGGTCCCACGTATATTAAGTCGCACAATGACATAAAATGCTCAAATAAAGCACAATTGAGGTTACACATCAAAACCAAGGAGTATCTCACTAGTGGGAATATTTTCTCTGTATGAACATATGGAACAACTTACATGTAGTATTATCGCCAAAACAAATTATACGATAAATTATATGTTAAATAAAAGAACAAGAGCGAAATATTTATGCGAGAGATGAAAAATAACTTATGTGGAAAAAAACTATGCAAGATAATTGATGCGAAAAGTTATGCATAGATAGACGAAGACAAAGATAAATGATAAAGTCCGAAATAATTATGGAATAAACTATGCGACATACAAATGAATATAACTGATAAATTCAATAATATTGTGCGATATACTATGTGACAGACATGCAAAAATAATTGATAAAATGTGAAAGATAGACTATGCGTCAGACATGTGAAGATAATTGATAAAATGCAAAAATATTATGGGATAAAATTTGCGACAAATAAGCGAAGATAATTTATAGAATGCGAAATATTTACATTATGTGATATGCGACACACAAGCGGAGATCATTAAGTTAGTGGGAAACAAATTATGAGATAAAGCATGCAACAGACAGACGAAGTTAATTGAGCAAGTGCGAATTACTTACGCGAACGACATTTGCTGAGATTGCGGTCCAATCATGGGCACTTTACCCTTTCATGCGGCCTTCTTCATCTTCTTACTTTTGTGAGGCCTAAAAGAAGATGCCTGAGCCCGCTGGGCAACCATCACTTGAGTTTTCTAAAGAAATAGGCCCTCTGGAGATGTTAAACGGTCCTTGGCCCAACGGACCGGCCCGTTTAGCCCAAAAAAAACAGGGTTAGGTCTTTTTATTGGTAGCCCGTTTAAATCAGAGCTTTTTAGACCCGGACCGTTTAAACCGAAGCCCGTTAGGGCTAGCCCGAAATCCGCTAGGGCTGGCCCGTTTAACTTTGAGTTGGGCGTTGTAAATATTTGCAGCAAGTAAGTAATATACTCTTATATTCATTGTATATTACAATTTTGCTATTCTACTTCACATATAAGTATAAGTTGTAACGGATTATATTGATTTTGAAAGATAATTATTAACAATATTCTTATTTTACTCCACACTAAAATATTTAACTCAATCAGAATGACTAATAGGAAACAAATGAGACAAAGACCTAACACATGAAACATAGTGATAGAATTAAGAGTGATATAATATCGTAAAATTTCCAAAGCGTACAAAATAAGTAGTGAAATAGTAATTGTAAGTAATAATTCAAATATTTTTTTCTTTTGAAAAAAAAAATGTTATTTAAGAGTTTGTAGTATGTGTTAATATATGATGTGTAGTTGTATATATAGAGCTGCAAATACTAAATACCGTTGAAAACAATCGTTAATTAGTCGTTGTAATTTTTTATAATTTTTTTCTTTTTATTTTTGATATTTTTTGATACATTAATAATAATAATAATAATAATAATAATAATAATAATAATAATAATAATAATAATAATAATAATAATAATAATATTATTAAAGTCCGCTTAGCCCGTTTAGCCCGAAGCCCGCTAGGGTTAGGGTTAGGTCCTTTTATTGGTAGCCCGTTTAAATCCGGGTTTTTTTAGGCCCGGACCGTTTAGCCCGAAGCCCGCTAGGGCTAACCCGTAGCCACTAGAGCTAGCCCGTTTAACATCTCTGCCTCTGCCGATTGGAGTTCTGCCAGAAGTCCCAGAAAAGTCAACATCATCTTATTCTTGTTGTAATTCAACTGGAATTGCTCAAAACTCTTCGACAAAGACTGGAGTACTATATTGACTTGGGTTTTCCCTTCAATAAAACCCCCAAGAATCTCCAACTCATTAAATTGGGTCATCATTGCGAGAACATGTTCCCTTACGGGAGTGCCTCACGCATGGTCATGTTCATCATGGCTCTCATGGCTTCTTATCGAGCAGCCCGTGACTGCTAGCCAAACAATTCCTTTAGATTGAGAAGCATATCTATTGCGGCATTCATGGACTGATGTTGATGTTGAAGTACATTTGACAAAGATGTCAAGATGTTACACTTCGACATTTGTCGGCCTTTTTCCACCTAGCATACTCATCTCTCTCCTGATATGTTGCCGCATCTCCCGACTCATCCGGAAAAGCCTCAGTAGTAACAATTTTATACCCTTCAGCAGTCAACATTATATTCAAGTTCCTTTTTCAATCAATATAGTTGGCACCAACACGTTTGTTTTCTTTGAGAATTACGGAACACTATATCCAAGTTCATTTTTCAATCAATATAGTTGGCACCAACACGTTTGGTTTCTTTGAGAATTGCGGACAACATATTGAAATACATTTTGAATTCCTAGGTTCATGCAAAGAAATTTTGTTCAGTCAAATGTTTCGAATTTAACTGCAAATATTGATCCCTCCAAAACAATATTCAAATAAATTCACTGACACCTCAAAACACTGAATCCCTGTAGGCCATAGAGTGTGGATGTCTATGATTCATACCGTCGCAAGATGAGGGATTAAACTCATTAATTAACATACTGCCCCAACTGCTCTTAATTAATGGTCCGTCCACCTTCATGCCAATGCAAAATAAGAGTGAGCCTTTTCTTAGGGAAATCACAATTATATGCACCTTAAGTGTAACTCATTAATTGGTACTAAGTTTACTACCAAAACTATACGTCCACCTTTGGGTGATCCGTACATTTTTGAAAGAGCTCGTTATTACCATCCCATAGGAGATCTGTCCTTGTGAACTGCGAAATAAACTGTCCTTTTGGCTTGATTTAAATCATTTCACAGACAAACCAATAACAAAGGTTGTGGATATAGTTTATTTCAATTCATTCACACTTAATATTTTAATTTAAAGGATTTTCCTAGACATGCTCCTAATTTTTTAATTTGCAAATAAAACAATTAAATCACATAAAGACATGCATGATAAAAGCCAATAATGAATAAGAACTAAAATTCAACTATCATGGCCATTTAATCAATCTCCAATCTTTGGAGGAATGTAATCTTTGTCCTTGTCGAACTGTGTCTTCTTTTCGGAACATGGAAATCCTCTTTCATCATGACTTCCACTTTTAGTCTTGAACAAGTCATCATCGGGAAATTCGCCATCAGGTCGCCGACGTTGGCTTTGGTCCGCTTATGTCTCACCTCATCTTCTCGAGGTTGGTCCACGTTCGCTGGATCAATAATGAATAATATAAAATACTTACATAATTCATCTTATGACCCGTGCATGAGTCGTACATGAGTTTTCTATGGCTTATAAAAACAACATACATGAATTAAAACGATACATATGAGCCAAAATAGTCGGATTCAGAATCACATGCAAATGAATTTTGCAATTTCTAATCTACTATGTGTTGTCTCCGTACACAATTAATTCACATGTGCAGGAAAGTCCTAATTCGAATTGTGCACAAAGATGAATTAAGCCTGGGCTCGGATACAAGTTGTTCGGTTCTATTAGGAACATCCACGATGTGCACATTCCAATCTGTCGAAATTAATCCTAACGCAGCTGAATTTATAGTTCGGATTACGACATAACCCTTTAAAATTGTTGCCAACTATGAGACGTTTCTAATTTCCTCTATAGGAGATCGTCTAACTTGCAGAGTCCGTTGGACAGCCGGACTTGGCCTCCTCGGTTGATTCGGGTCGTCGGGACACGAACGTATAGCTGGGGATTCAAGTGCGTCAGGCATGGACTGGTCGCAGCTGAGCTGCTGCAGTACGGGCGTCTGTTGGTCTGGAGTGTTTTGCTCACGAACTGAACGCGTTTGAGAGCTGCACGAACGACATCGTCTTCCAGGCTCGAGGTGCGACTAATACGCGTGTTGGGCGTGTCGCGTTATCTTGTGTTGTGGGGTTCTCGGAGTATGGATCACTTCTCATAGGCCTCATAGCATTAGGAATACGGACTTCTCGACACAAGAGCGTTGCAGCAGGGCAGCGAGCGGGCGCGAGGGGATATTGCACGAGCTGATGGACAAACGTCGCTGGGAGCTGTTGGGCGTCATGCGGCCGCAGGGGCTTGCTCACGGCTGGGCGTGACTGCGATCTCCAGTGGTAGTTGATGGCGACAGTGAGTTTCGGCAAGGGGACACAGCGATGGACGGTGGTCGGAGATGGCCGGATTTTCATGAATAAAAGGCTCGAATAATTTGTACCTTAAAGCCTTCTAATGTATTACCTAAATATCTACTTCGAATAATCTTGGTGGTGCGATTAATTGAAACTCCCGAACTCCCAATATATGAAACACTCGATTTTCCTCTTCCTCATAGGAACCTATAAACCGACCGAATCAATGTGTAGGGGGAGAGGTTGTGACATGGTGTATTTATAGGCAATATTAGAGACCTTAAGGATGTGCTAAATATGAGCTTATCATATTAGGTTTAGAAAACTTAACCATCATCCATATTATTTTTCTTCTAGAAGCCTTATTCCTCCTAACCCTAATTACCAATCTGGAAGACTCCAAAATCTGCTAACCCTAGGGTAATATTCAAGAAGGAATATTCATCTTCTTAGGGATTTAAGCAATGAAAAATAATCAATTTCTAATTCCTACATAGAATTAAATAATAGAACATTCTACTATGCAATATTATTGCTCTCCCCATTTAGTTCCAATTTATTAAAT